TTGGAAGGCAACTGTCTCACCAGCTGGCACTCAACACCATTTTTTCCTGTTTTATTTCACTTTAACCATGTGTGAAAGCAGTTTAACAGGTGATGTGATATTCTGTTATGTTGCAACATCAATCTGCATACATCTATTCAGAGACACATCTGAAATGTTCTATATTACTTAGTCACAATATAGATTTGCAGCACACATGCAAACAGCTTTCTCCCTCTGTGTGAGAATTAAGCATCAAACTTCAATTAGAAAGCAATGCCTTAGGTATTTAAATGCTAAAGGATCTTCCCTTTGAAGATCCTCCTCACTTTGCCTCCATGAACATGCTGTAAAGTTTGCTATCTCCCACTTTAAAAATTACTTCTATAATTTTGCAACCATTTTGCACAACCTCAAATATTCCCTGGAATTTTGGTAATATGCATTTAGCTTCCCACAGCCATTTACAGAACAGTGTGATTAAGAGGTATTCCTACCACCTGGCTTCAAATCTTAATATTTCTGTCCACATGGCATAACAGAGACCCAGACACCTGGTCTTCATTACGTATCCAAGCATCAAACTGAAGCTCTGGTATTCAAATTCTATACACGGGTAGATGCACTTTAAGATATAGTTTAGAGTATGAAAACCATTCAGCTATCTGGGTAAAAAAGTTGACAGACACATTTCCATAGAACATGCTACCACATGACCAACACAGAAACCAAGTCATTTTTCAACATTTTGCAAAGAAGTACATTTCTTAACATAGCAAGTTATTTACGTGAAATGAGAATAGGTTTAAGATGCCTGTAGAATTCAAACTGTGTCAAAAACTTATTTATTTTGAATAGCCACAACTGTTTTAACAAGGATATGTACACCTGTACAGATATGTACACCTGAATAGGCGAGAAACCCATAGTTATCTAGCTATTACCCAAAAATCTAGATAGTTTTCCCTGCAAGAAATTACTAAGCCAAGCATCTTACCTCACTTGAACATGTTCTTTTGCAAGCTACAACTACCACCTGTAGTTCCAGTTACCGAAAACCTGCAATATTCAGCACGAATTGCTAACATTGGCCTATAAACCTCATGTTAAAACTCTGTAGAAGGTTTGGCATATTACGGTATATTGAATTAGGCTGCCACGTGATCTCTATACAATCCCCAGAAAAAGCGAAACAGGAGGAGATGAATAAAGTGTGTGTGTGTGATAACACATGCTGTATGGATCAGTAAACAAGAGTAACAGCAGTAATATTGATAGCATGAAAGAGTCACAGAAAGAGACCATCTGTACAGTCAAATGGCATGGGGAGTGGGAAGAGTGGATGTGATAAATCACAAGTCTCACACAGCATCATCTGAGAAACAACAGGAAATATTTTGATGTGAGCATGGTCAGAACTGTGATCCATGTACACACATGCTCTTGAAATAGTAGGAATGGTCTTCTCTGATCTTTCCACAAGCATTATTCAGTTTGAACAAAGGATATCTTGTTGGAGGCTACAGCTTTGCTAGACAACAATAGAACTGCCTTTAAGCATTAATGATAATCAGACTAATATATTTCTCATCATATGAGTAAACAAAGATTTTCAATATGGTTGAATAGAAAAGTCTTTGTTAAAATCCACAGACTAAAAAAGCGCCCAAATGCAGACAGACAAGCCCTGATCTTGACGCAGCCCAAGCTCTGAAACATGCAATCTATCACGTAAGAGACAGAAGAGGTCAGCCATTAATTAACATCCAAATTAAAGCTTTTCAAGTAAGGGTCAAAACTTCCTTTGTTTTGACATTTAAATCACTGGCAATGTATTCCCCAGTTTAGTATGCGCAACACATCACCTAATGCCTTTATGTTAATTGCCTCAATTTTTCAAGAGCACTCTTTGATTCATTGTCAATTAAAAATACCCCCAAAAGCCAAGACTCATGTATGTTAAGTATAAACATGATTAATGTAACACAATTACATTTCCACGTTTGATGAGTCTGATTAGGAACTTTCTATCAGCCTGGCATGACGAAGCATTGTCACTACCAGTGACCTGTCAGCCTTGCCAAAGACAAGCCTGCTGATGGGGAAGCATTTCATGGCCACAAATGTTTCAGAGAGGTGGAAAACCTGTAATTAAATGCTGTCAATTATCACCTTATCAAGAAAGTAGCAATCTTTATGATTTTTTTCTATCTGATTGCAGAAGCTGGTCCCAGGTCTAAACTAAAAAAAAAAAACTATCAAGAAGAAAATTCCAGTAGAACAATTGCTTGTTAAGAGAATAATTATGTGGAAAGATCCTCTAATATTTCCAGAAAGTGATTCTATGAATCCTCTCCCACTGCATGAAGGGAACATCTGTTTTAAGATAACTGCACTCAAGGAAAAGAACTGGACAGACCAAAAGCAGGAAAGCAATGCCTAATTTTGTTTGTGGTCATAAAAACCACAAGTTATAAGGAGATAAAGGGGTCTGATGAAAAAAAAAAAGTGAAAATTGGGATAAGTAAACACAAAAATTAGGACAATAAAATGGTCCCACTCTGGAGGTTGCTGTTAAGTGAGATGCAATGGTAAATCAGGGGGAAAAAAAAAAAAGTCAGTTCATCCTAAGCACAATGGGATAAAAGCTAAGAAATAACAAGAGAATTCCAGTGAAGCTAACAGGAAGAAGGGTATCCATACACAGCTGGACTAATGTAAATGTTATGGCCAACTTACAAGTAGGCTTCGGTAATAACTAGTACAAGTCAGAATAAGATAAAATTCTGCACCCTCGGTTTGGGCTTCTTTTCCTTCTTCCCATCAGTAAATGTAAAATGTAATTAACATTGCCATATGTAGAAGTAATAAATACATAAGAACAAGTCATAACCTATATTTAATTACAAGAGAAATACTAGCAATGAAATGTACAGTAGGTCCTTGTTTAAATTGAAAAATAAAAAAAAAGAAAGAGACTGTTTTATTGCACTTCAGAAAAGAATTAAGGAGCTCCTTGGCTTATCGAGGACTACAAAAGCAATCACTGCTATAGGCCTGCTTTGCATACTCGCTCTATTAATTTACATAGCCCTGGTAAGCCTCACATTGCAATGCAACTGCTAAATTACACTGCTCTTGGGTAATGGGTATAAAAAGATGCAAGAGCATGCAAAGTGTATTCAAACACACAATTAAAAATATCAATTCTGTTGACAGCCAAAATGAGGAAACTGTGCAGAGGTTTAATGCTGCTGCATGAAGGACATACTGTTTACAAGTGATTGAATTAACTAGAATCATGCATTGACAGTCTGCCTTTGTCGAACATTACATATTAGGCCAGTTTAGTGTCTGCTTATTAAAATAATTTAATTCTGAAGATTGTTTCCAGGCATTTCTAAATCTCCTCCTTGCACTAATGATAGCATCTTAATTATTGTGCTAGTTTCACACAAGTGCAATTTGCTGGGTCATCGTAGAGCAGCCCAGTCAATTTTGGCTTAACCAACTCGGCCTTTAAGTATTTGGGCAGGCGAGCACAAATCAGCAGGAGATCTGGCCAGACACGCTCCAGCCTCAAAGTTCAGAAGCAGCCAAAGAATACAAGGGTTATTTTTACTCAACACTAACTTGATAACATTGCTTTTCTTTACATAGATCTTCAACTTCCCATGCTTGTTAAATCTACCACGCTTTCTATATTCTATGAATTTTTACTTTTAACTATGTAGGAATGATGCGTTCATCAGTTTTTTGAAATAAGAACTTAAGAGCAAACAAAATTGCCAAAAGAAGTCTCTTCTAAACTGTATAATCTCACATCCCTGTGAACAGCATTACTACTTATGATCTAAATTTCCTCTGAAAATGCAACTCAGACTAAGTAACTTATCAAAATGCTTAAACTATAAATGTTATCTTAAAGGTTTTTAACAGGCCTAACTAGTTTCAAGCTGAATGGCTTAATTTTCAACAGACTCCAGCAAGTAATGCTGACATTTCCTTTTGAAGGGTTATTGCTGTTTTAGTACAAGTGAGCACAGATATTACGCCTTTATCCAAACATACGTAGCAGTGAAAATACACTAATATGTAGTAGCAATATCTGGAGGGAACTGAGATGGGAAATGTGTGCATTTAATGAATAATATTGCTTTGCATTTCTTGGTATCACCAAACAATCACTATATATCACGTTGTAGGATCTAGATATTGTACGTAGATACCAAGCACTACTGTCCCATGCTGTGGATCTCAAAAGAATACCTGGTTCAAGCAAGCATGACAAAGAAACTAATAATAATATGTATCACATGTACAAATGCCACTGTGTTTGGAAGTTATGAAAAATATCTTTAAGTTTTAAAAATTATTAACCATTGGAAAAGGTATTGTCTCAGTTTAACAGTCTTGAAGTCCCAAAGCCACAGAACTGAATGAACAAGTTGTAACACTTGCTCACTAAAGTATTTGAAGGAATTAACATCAGGACCAAAAGACAGTTAAATCTCCTTCAGTTTAATGCTTTGAGTATACCATGCCAGATTGGATTTTTATAATGTGACACCTGGTCACTGGAAATATTACTGAATATCCCAGTTCTGCAACACACGTAGTAACAATTTGCTGTCACTGATGACCACAAGCTTTGTCCTGCCTCCTCTGAATTTCATGTAAAGAAACACTTAGTCAAGTGCTGATAAGCAAGCCCTGATTTCCAAGATTATAGGGAAGACTATAAAAATTCAGAATAAATTTACTTTTTAAAGAAATGGATGATCCTAAGTTTTCAGTGTTATTCTAAATCATTATATACAGTATTTTGCCATCTCTAATATATGGAACAGAGTAAAGTCTGTGGAGATATAGAATTAATGCAGGGGAAGCCAGACAGAATCATGGCCATGTTCAAAATCCTACACACAAAAAAAAGCAGCTTTCTAATAAATGGCAAGAGTGATATGAATACATAAGCAATTCTGATTTTTGCACAATAGTAATATATGAAAATAACATACAGTTCAGAATTGGCTGGTCCTCTGTGAATTCAAATGGCTGTTCAATATAAAAAACCTTTTGCTGGAATCCAGGGACACATCCTAAATCTTCTGCACATGCAAGCAGCAGAACCTGAGGAGAAAAAAAAAGGAAACAGCCTTTTAACATCCACTCATTCATCCATCATGTTGGCTTCTGGGAATGATACTGGGTTTAGGCTCAGTGCTCATAAAACAAAACATTGGGCTTCATGGTCATAAAACAAAATATCCATCACATCACACTTGCCCCTCAAATCTTGCTAAATAATTTTTATGTAAGTTTTTTTGGTTTTATATATGCGGGCTGATACGGAAGTTACAAAATGGTAGCTTCCAAGGTTAAGTTCAGTCCAGGTTATCAACAGAGGATATTACTGGTCTTTGTGAAAACATAGGATGCAACGTTGCTACTAAAATCACAGGTAGGCTTAAATAAAAGTGCTTTACTTAATCATGTGAGTTGATTTTAATAATTCATAAATTAGAGTCTGCAAAGTTTCAGAAAGTTGATCGCCAAGTTACAGGAGGAGTTCTTTATTCAAGGATAAGTTTCACATCACAAGAGTTGCCTTTTATAAAATAATTTCTTCACTATCAAATGTCAACAGTTGCCTTCCCCCTTCCTCCCTCCCCACCCCTGCCAGCTCCAAGCCACAGTTTGTCCATTTTCCCTGTAATCAAAAACTTGTTTACACCAAGAAAAGACTGAAAATGAAATGTGTACATCATACTGGAGGTGGATTTGAAGGTTAAAGTTGAATACAGTTTGTGCCACTGTTAGTATGTGATCACCAAAGGTCCCTGTCACCACGGGAATACCTTAGCAAAGGAGGAAGCTTAAAAGCAAAATAAATTGGTTGGAAATAGGTACAATGCTAATCTCAGACTCTGAAGGTTTGTGTTCTGTCCCTGAATATAGACAACAACCTGAAAGGCCATTTTTATTGGCAGCTTTTAAATGAGACCATGGGTGTAAGAACTTCCAGGAAAGAGGCAGCAAAAAAAAAAAAAACATAACTAAGAAGTTAAAAAGGTTAAAGAGAGAGGCAAAAAAAGGCAAGTTCAAGAGTAGGAAAAGTCAAATCTGTATTTTTCAATCTATATATGTATAACCACATTTTCAGAAGTACTTTATGCTTCAAAACCTGACTTTCAGCTCATGTACAGAGTGCTCTGATCTCATAGTAGTTGTAGCCAATCTGTTCCTTGCTGATCAGCAGAATTAAAGTCAAGGAAGGAGCACATATAGAGACCAAGAAGAAAACAGTGAAATACACAGTGATTCTCAATGACATGCTCTCTAAAATTCAAGGTGCCCTGCACAAAAATGTCTATTTACTCAAGACATCCTCAACACATGATTACAATTTTACCAATAAAACTCTCGAACCATGAATTGAGGACAACGTCTCCCCCGTCACACACAGATGAATGCTGAAGGCAGCTCAGGTGGCAAACCGAACTCTCACTTCTCTCAACCCAATAGAAACATCTCACATATTTCCTAGTTCTACCTCCATCACATTATCATGCCAGTATGCTGATCCTGATCCTAGATGTCCTGCAGAATTCTAACATCTGTATGTTTCCCTCTTAACCACCACTCATAGTCCATCCGCTAAATCAAAGCAATACGTTATCTGCTCTCTCTCTTCATGCACTTCACACTCGCTATAAGTTTTATGTGATCCCATTTATAAAAACCAAAGGCAGCAATACCCCACCTGGTCTGCATTAGATCTTCTTATTGAAACCAACTGCTGGATCATTTATTTCATGTCACTGACATTGGCTATAAAAGCTTGGCTAGAAGTGCTAGCAGACTGTGAGAAACAGCCAGAATATTTCATGACAATTAAGCTGGTGGTAGTCAAATGCAGCAGATGGACGCCTTTGCCTTCCATCCTGACCTGCTCTGCTTGTCCCTTTGAAGGATTAACTAAGAAAGAAGAGAAAGACAAAATAAAACACCAAGCAAGGTGCAATATGCTTGTCTTTTTTTCACTTCTACATGTCCAAGTAACTGCTGCCTCACCCACCAAGACTTAAAAAACATAGTGCCCAATCCCTTCAATTGATGATGTTGATATCTTCATTTTATTGGAGATTCTGGACTCTGTAGGGGTTGAGAATTGAATGTGTCCCCTTCGGTATTCCAGTATGAGACAACTGCAAACATGAACTGACATACTCAGTGCCTGCCCTCAAAATTGTGCATAAAACTTAATTACTGATTATTAAAACAAAAAGCCTGATATGCATTTAAATGGTCACATACATAGAAAGACAGAGATGCATTTTCTGCACACGTTTTCTCTGTGCACAGGTGCGTTTTTAAAGTACCTTTCTGACTCATGGTGTTCCTGAATGAATATACATAGAAATGCAATCACAGCAGAAGGAAAATTCTTCCTATCTCAAGACACAAGCAACAACTGAAGCCACGTTATATAACGAGTCCACATCAGAAAAACAGCCAGAGCAATATATGCTGAAATTTAACTACAAACAACTCTTCCCCTAAAGGATTAACACCACAAGTAAGAGGCAAATCATGTTCTGATCTCCCAGCTACTGGCATCTTAGAGTTGAAACTCTTGTCTTCCAGAGCTATAAATAAAAAGCCTGCTTTGGACATTATCTATGTCAGTACTTAGAGAAGGGAATATGGCTACTTTATCAGATTTGTGACAGTAGAAGTTGACTTTGAAATCTGGGCAATCTAAATAGGTCATGAGTTAACTTCTGTAAGCCTGGTACAGAAGCCTCACATAACACAGATGTAGCAAATAGAAAATGACCTTTACTCCCTTTGAAATAATTACAAGACTCAGGCTTGGCCTTGCTGTGAAATGGAACATTTTATTCTACTTGTGCAATTCCAAGCACTTTCTTCTTCTCAACATGTCAGACAAGATGTTAAATTTGTCACTGCACCGACAGTTTTTAATTAATTATCTTCTAAAAGCACAATTATTCTTTTAATTTATTTTTCTCACAAAGAAACTTCTTCTGTTGAACTAAATGTCTACCTCATTAAAATAATTTCTGTTGAGGTTCTTCACTTCAGGGGGAAAAGGTCTTTAAAAATACGTTGAAAAAATAAACCAAGCAGATTTGTGTTGAAGGCAAAGAGAATATTGTTCAAAGCAGAGTACATTCTGAATTCAAGCACTATGTAGATTATGTATTTTTTTATATAATAAAAGGGGTTTGGGGCTGATTAGCTGTCTAAAGAAAGGGCTCAGCTAAACAAACTGAAAATAATGTTTAAATATCATATATGTAGAATTCAGAATATATAAATATTGTTCATACATCTACTCAAGTAAGTACTAGGCAATCAGTAGAAAGGATCCTTCACACACCACTAAAATAAAGCCACATTCTTGAAAGAATATGACAATTTTGCAGCAAACATCTTTTGCTCCTGAAAATCTGAAGGGGTAGAAGCCTGAAAAGCAAACCAGGGAGTCATGACTACTCAGACCTAAAGGTACTATATTCACTGACAAGCAGAATCAAAATTTTTCTTAACCTACCGCTTTTCAGAAATGTAGAAAGTGAAGACTCATTTTTAATATCCTGACAATTTGTCTTTCTGAATTTATTACCAGTCACTATAAGGAAATGTCACTAGTTCAGATGACTCTTGCGCAAGTTTGGTCACTGAGCTAGAACTATACTTCTGATGAGGTATCACGCCTATGAAACACCATTTTTTTTAGTTAATAAAACAGCACACACATGCTGGTGACCCTGCCTGACCTCAACATTTGCACTGAAAGCTGTTCACATAGAATATGGATCAGAAAGCAAAAGAGGATGGCAATTTTATACCATACTGCAGAGGAAACTAATAAAGTCCATGATGTTAAAGCACTTTTGGGTATTACCACATCTTAAAACCCAGGGTTCCTCTCCTTCCTCTGCTGGCGACTGAAAATTAGTCTCCGAGATGACCTTCCACAGATTTTCATAATCATTATGTCCTTTTTGATTTGCTCAGTTTCAGCATATCAAGCAACTCCATTCAAGGTTTGATTGGCTACGTCCTCATTCTGGAAATTAATTTTCTCACCTTTTACTGTAACCACTCTCATATCTTCATTAGCCCTACCTGTAAGAGATCAACTTTCTATCACAAAAATGCGAGCTTCAGAAAATTAATCGCATTTCACAAACATTCTTATGGTGCAAAATTCATCCTTGTGCAAGGCTTTATTTAAATAGAGATGTAAATGCAGACACCTGTGAAAATCTTCTGCCCAGACATGAATTTTACACACAATAAATGCAAAAAGATCTCATAACACAGGGCAGTATCCTGTAGGACCACATTGGACCTTTGACTTCAGGAGAGTAATTTGAAATGCAAACAAACCAACACAAAACCCCACAAGAGCTAAAACAGAGATCATAGTAATTTTAATAATAGTAAAACCCCCAAAAGTTATGAGGCACTGCCCAAAAAATTAGCGGTTTTGATTGGTTTGGGTTTTTCTTTTTTGTTTGGAGTTTTCGGTGGAGTTTCTTTGGAAGTATGGTTTTGGGGTTTCTTTTTTATTCAACATGTTTACTTGGAAGTGAGTATTGAAAATTTATGCTTCTGAGCTTTCTTCTGGAAGCATGAAAACTAGAAATTTGCTTTTTGCATATGAAAACTTTATATTTTCATATAAAATCCGATGATCCTAAAAGCTGAGAACTGAGAGGAAAAAAAAGGAACCAGAATAATGAGGACTGCCAACACTGAATTAAATGGCACATGACAATATTTTTATCATGCAGATCAAGATCTTCGAATCTTAAAATCCTTTCTATCCTCAGGTGCTGCAACACTAGATCCACAAAAATGGATAGGGAGGAAGCCATCAGAGAAGAAAAACAAGTAATAAGCAGCACAGAGTCACAGTGATTTGCAGAGACATGATGAAATCCTGCCTTCATTGAAGTCAGTAAGAACCATTCATTGATTTTAGGTTTTTTACTCAAGATGTAAATGAGTTATTTAAATGAAATTAACAGAGGGATACTTACACAGAATAAAAAGAGCACTGCTTTAAGTAAGGTTCTGATTCTGCATTATGC